CTCTCTCTCTCTCTCTCTCTCTCTCTCTCTCTCTCTCTCTCTCTCTCTCTCTCTCTCTCTCTCTCTCTCTCTCTCTCTCTCTCTCTCTCTCTCTCTCTCTCTCGCTCTCTCTCTCTCGCTCTCTCTCAAACACACACACATATACTCTCTCTTCCTCCCACCCCGCTTCACTTGCCGGGCATCATCTTCAAGTATCGTGAGGCGATCAACGCCATCGACATTCAGGAGATCCACGTGAGAAGAATCAAGCACCGTTTGTATCGGGTGGTGCATGGCTTGAATAATAAAGAAGCAACGGTACCCAGTAGCGTGAGGTTCCCAATGCAGTCCCAGGCGATAATCTGATCGCAAACGGATAAGGCCGAGCACTACTGTAGGCCACCCCAATGCCATACCGTGCGAGGGCTGTAAGTTGAAACACCATGGATTTTGGCTTAATGAATTATCGTGAAATTCGAGGGTAGGGCGGGCTTGGCGATGGAACAACATGGTGGCGCTGGTGACAAGAAGTGAATATGCGTGCGTGCGCGCGTGTATCCAGAGGGCGAGCAATCAGAATACCACGGGACTAGAAAATGATTTACTCTCATCGCAACTGCTTTCGTCCCACGGGCAATGTCAATGGAACTCCCCCGTCTTTTCCTTCATCGCCGCAGTTTCACAAGAAGTGCGTTCGTTCCATTGACTCGTTTCGAGCCAAGCTCGGACATGTTAGATACGCCCAAGATGGGCATCCGGGCAGCACAAACACGAAACGGATCTGAATAGACTCAAAACAATGCCTCTTGACGGGGTGGACATGCTGGGGTTTGATTATCCACGCAACACACGTAACGGAGACTTCCGTTCTCGATGTTGCGTCATGGCGTACGACGATGATGGGCGGCTGTCCAGGCTTTCAACTCGGACATGGGTGACACCATGGAAGGCATCAAGCTGCTCGTACGCCCGCGCCTGATCCTGACTGACTTGGCCATGACCACCAATCCGGCCTTGTTCGACATAGTGGTGGCTCCGCTTCTTGAAGGGGGTGACCCCATCGAGTACAAGTAAGAGTGCATTTTTGGCATCCGGCAGGTCAAGACACTATTTTGCCAGCAATGTGCAGACCGCCCCCAGCTACGGAATGTCTAACAGCTGTGTACGGACATGCGCTTACATGAGAATACAGCGGTGCACCGATAACACTATTTGCATGGCCAGAGATACTGAGAAATTCCCCTTTGCAATAATTTCCCCCGAGGCTTGCACCCTTTGTATCCAGCATACGCTACGTCGGTATAGCATTGCCTCCACCGCATCTATATTCATGAGGAGTTGTTGTTGTTGTTGTTGTTGTTGTTGTTGTTGTTGTTGTTGTTGTCTTCACATTTAAAAACCGTTCCGATCTCTCTCTACCCAGTACCTTCGTATGTCTGTACTGATCCAACACTCGACGCGGTCGATTCCCGTGGTCACAGGTTAACTTACCCTAAAATGGTACACTCAAATAAACTGGTCCCGAGGGGTCCGCAAGTCAATAGAAATCAACGACAGATATTCTGGAATCCTCCACTCCCTCTGCGCGCTATGCGAGGTATCAACTGAGACTAGCAGTCACTATCTATCATGGGCCGGAGAAAGAGGTACACCCCCTTGGTTCAATCTTGGTACTTCACAATGCAAGCAGAGACCAGGCCATCTGGCACAGAAAAAGAAAGAAAAAGAGAGAAAAGAGAGAAAAAAGGCGAGTATTTCAGATGGATCCAACCTATGGGGGGAGGAGTCTGAAATTGGTGTTTATTGGAGTTGATGAGAAGTGAGCATTTTTTATTTTGTGCCAAAGAGGATGTCTGCGTGCGTATAGAAGAGGAGTCATGCGCACCGAGAGAAGGCAGCTGCTCGCAGGACATTCCGTTTGCGCCCGATCACGTTGAAGCATCATCAGTGCTGGAGCACAGGGACTGCTAAACGTACGAGTGGACACCACTGCCAGCTACTACCTGTTAAGACGTTCTGTTCCGGGGAGCTAGTGTTGTCGTCTTTGCCGGCGGGGCGAAGACCAAGAATCTGGGCGACGGAGTCGATACGCCGCTCTCGGAGAAGCGTCGACTACATACTTTGGATATTGATCGGTATATCGGGGGCACGTCGTCCAGGGACGGAGACATGAGCGGGGACGGGAACTGCTCGGATGAATCCACTACTGGCCGCGAGGAGTACGCGGCGGAGAGGAAAGGATAGCACCAATGAACGGGCTGTCATCAGCGCGTCGGTTAAGACCTCAGGGCCGACATGGCGGCGAGGTCCCAGGAGTTGCTGGAGACCGTGTGCGTCCGGGGCGGCGGGGCCGCGGCGGGTGGCGCTGCCGAGGTTGCACCAGCGCCGATATATGGGGGCGCGGGTGCGAATGGCTTCTCGTCCGGCTACGGGTCACATCACGGTGGTCCAAGCCCCGGGTTGCTGCAGGGCGTTGGTTGGCGTGGCAGCGGGGGCGGCTTAAGCTTCGCTCCCGCGGTGCCGTCCCTGTTTGGAGCGGGAGGCTCACACATGGATTCTGGTGTATACAGGGGTGGAGCAGGGGTGTCGTCCGCCCACCGGCGGATGGAGAAGGTGATCATGGACCAGCGGGTGAACGCGTGGAGCTCGACGAACATCCGCATGTGGTGCTTCGTAAGCTTGAAGTTCTGCGAGCGACAATCTGCAAGTGGCCCTGCGCGCCACTGCTGTGCTTCTGAGTCCAAGTTACGGGGGGTGATTGGTTCACTGTTGTATATCTGTGAAGTCGTGCGGCCTGGTAAATATTTGTTCGCCGTAGGCTCCACCTGTTGGGGGGCTACCGCCGGTGCGATTGACAGCCCGGGGGCGAGAACAGAAACGGATCGGTTCCGAGTTTCGTTCGGACATGCGGTTTTGGCGTCTGATGGTAGAAGGGGGCTTGGGGTCGCCGTCGCGGTTATTAACAGCCCCACTTGTTTGTTTGGTTGGTTATGCTTCGATCAACCATATTCGTGTCTTTCGTGGTCAGACGTATCTGGTGATGCCATGGGAGGGTATCTCTTGCACGCCGAATTCTGTTCGGGAGTACGGTGGCGTTTCGATTTCAGTCAGGAAGTACGGGAGAGGTTTCGCCAGCAGGCTGAGGGGCGCGATGGTTTGAGCATAAACACGCTCAAACTCCTCGCGATGGTGGCTGTCGCCTGGGTGTTGATTGTGCAATCGGACATGAGGCCGGAGTACGCCCGCAATAGCATCCAATTGATGGGAGACAACTCCTCGCGTGTGGCCTGGGTGAACAAGTATCGGGGGGGAAGCGAGCCCCGGTCGGGAGGCACTTATGCGTATGCTCGGATGTTTAGAGATGGGCAGCGGGTGGTGCTTTGAGGCGCTCAGGTTAGGGGTGTCGATAACACGATTGCGGATGGTATTTCCCGATGAGAGCCGGAGACCATGGACGCATGTCTTCGCCTGTCCCGTCCCAATGTCGCATGGCGCCAACTTGACCTGGGCCCGGAGGTCGCCGATCTTTGTACCGGCGTCTTAGCCGCGAGTACGTCCGCGAGTCAGTTGCGCAGTCGTCTCGAAGAACTTACCTGTCGGGTTGGCAGGCTTGGTGTGCTTTGCGCCGCATGGTTGGTGAGTCGGAGTACCTCTCGGGGGATGCAGATGGTGCTGTGCTGGAACAAGCACTTTTGGAGTGTGTGGCGTGGTGTTGTGCAGATAAGGGTAACATTGCACCGACCATATCCGGCAAGCTCGCCGCGGCACAGTACTTTCATCGAGTTGACAAGCAGCTTGAGTTGCCTACCGGTGCGCCTCTTATCAAACGGAGTTTGTTGGGTGTCGCACGTGTTCACGTCCGAGCGGGTACGAAGAGTCGCAGTCGTGTTCCCGTCTCGTGGGAGACGTTGTTGGAAGAACAGCAGTTGACGGCGTCGTGGGGTACAGGTGGCCGCGTGTTGTGGCTGTGTTTGGCGGTGTCGTACTTCCTGGTGGCGCGTTCAGATGAGGTTTTTGCCACACTGTCGGGACAATGCCACCAGGTGCATTGTTTGCGGCGTAGCGACGTCGAATTCTTTGATGGGGAGTACGTGCTAGCCCCGTTGCACTGGCACAAGGCCACAGGAGTTCGGGTTCGGTTTTGCGGCCACAAGGGGGATCAGTCGGAGACGGGGGCGTGCGTTACACGGGTGCGCGATGCACGAGGCGCGAATTCTCAGATTGGAGCCGGTGGCAGTGCCGTGGCGGTGTTGGTGGAATTGATGGCGTGCCATCTCGCTTTACCTGAGGACGCCCCTCTGTGCTCGTTTCGCTGTAGGAGGAGCAATACGGTTAAGGTTTGGGGATATTTCCAAAGCTCTTAGCGCCCTTCGCCAGATTGTGGAGAAGGCAGGTGGTGACCCGAGACAGGTTGGCTTGCATTCGTTGAGAATCGGGGCCGCCACCACGTTGGCAGCAGGAGGAGACGTACCGGACATAATTATTCAGAGAGAGGGTAGATGGAAGGAAGGTTCGGGTACGTTTAAAATATATACTAGGAATAATATGGTGGACGTAGACATGGTATCCCGTAAACTAGCGAAGGGGAAGAAGACGGAGCAGAAGAAGGGTTAGCACACACGAAGGTACGGGCAAAGGGACAGAATGCCATCCCACTAAACGTCGATGTTGGTGGATGTCAATGGTATGGAGTACCATTGGGGGTCTCGGTGTACTGAGACGGCATTTTGTTAGGGCCTGCCAGTTGACATGGAAGGGGAACTTGGACTCTGGAGGAGAGAGGGAAGCGACCGGTGTCGTCCCCTCGTTATTGGCCAGAGAGTTACCTTCCAGACTTCGTGGAAAATAATAATAAAAATGACACTTTGGAAAAATACAATAAACGAAAAAATAAAAATGGAAACCGTAAGGAGAAGAGAAAATAAAAATAATATGAAAATAAAATGAAAAAGGGCGAGGACAAAGAGGGACCAGGCCGAAAATAACAAGAATTATGAGGCAAAACAAGGCACACGGTGGAGAGACCACTAACGAACAAACAAACACGCAAACATGGCCACCACCCAGCGATACATTGTAATGGTACGAACTCACTACTGGGGGGTTGGTGCAATGGTGCAGCGTTGGGGGGGGGGGATTGGCTAAAAGAAATTCAATCCGGCACGTATCGTGCCACTCGGTCCGTCTCTTCTCGTTTGCTTTCTTCCCTCGCCGTCTCGTCCGTCTCCTGCCCCCCTCCCGCCCAATTGGTTGTTGGCTTGTGGTTTCCTTTGAGCGCTCGTTGTCGGCTGGCCTCTTCTTCCTTCTCGTGCCAGGAGGTCATGAACCTCTCAGCTCCCTGCAGCACCGCCGCATGCCAGGGTGTATAGTGACTCGAACACGCTACGGTTCTCCGAATACGTTTACCGTGCACGAAGTCGAATATATTGCACGTAGCCTGTCTCACCGCGCTCGGTTTGCGAGCCCTATTGTGCGGAGCTGGGTAGTCAGAGTATTTGATCCTGAGTTATATACACGATTCACTTTGTGCTACACACTTTTTCGGGAACGGGTGTGCAATGAATCAAGATGTGCCAAGAAATTGGGATACACAAGAGGGGCGTCTCCATCGTCCCCGCCCCTACCATTCCATCTCACCACCGAAAAAAATGCAGGCTAGTGAAAAGAGCGTGCTGGGACTACCAGTCCGCGGTGAGGGGCATTTGCGCCAACCTGAAGGTATTCATATTGTTTTATTCGTTCGACGCCCGATTGATTGCATCTTTTCGAGTGTCCTTCTATCGATCTGTGGAACGCGCGAATCGTGCGGCCTGTATTTCGTGCGCCTGGCGCGAAAATCACATGAGTAAATCTTGTTGCCCTTCGTAAGAGCGTGAGACCGAGGCATCGACAGACGTGCTGCTTTTCTGAAACATGTGTCTTCCCTCTTTCCTGCATCTAGCAGAAACATTGCATGTAGGCTCGTGTCGGCTTGATACTGGAATTGATTTTCACCAATTGGAAAGTCGTTTTTCTTCTTCTTGAAGTCTGATTTGTACAGGAGGTAGCGTTCATGGCGTCATTCACCCCAACACGCACGTTTTTGTCCATTCACGCCGGGGATTTCGTCTGGCACACACGGAGCAGGTTGATAGCCTCGAAAGGCAAGCTCGGCGCTCTGGTGGCGTCGAAAGGGCTACGGGCGGTGATGCTGGGCATGGGAACGACCACAACGCTGCCGGTGGCGCTGGTGGTGTCATGCTCAGGGAGGCCTTCAATCGGCTGGGATCCGTCATCGACTTTCAGGCTCACCAGCAGGCAAAGCAACGTAGTGTATGTATGCATACCCAAACAGCAACACGTGCCAAGTTCGATTGTGAGCGTTGGAGTATGGGTCGCCACCTACATGTATGTAGTTTTTCGGTAACTCAATTTTTGTTGTCAAATGCGCCATCCAACACATGTTGGCCAACCGAGCAGTGTGGACATTGGGTCCACCCTCAAACAAACTTTGACATGGAGAGAGAGTGGAAAAAGTGTAACAGTGACTATGAGCACATAGTTCGTTCATGTGAGTGCTGCAAAGTATGATATCCATTCTTCGATTTTGGAAGAAACTGAGTGTTGGAGAATTCCATGTGTTTTCATTCCCCCAGGTTTGTGCCTTCCGTGCCCTCGCGGAAATGTCTTCTCTACTGCCGTCGTTGCTCGCACCCAAGGATCCACCTCTTCAAATTTGATCGGAAACACCGGAGCGTTTTAGTCTCACTCACATTGGTACGGCTCTGGCCTCGTCTTCAGGTATGTGGGGTTGGCGTTATCAGCAACCTTCGTTCATTGCGATCGGCCGTGACCACCAGGTGCGGGCTCTTGGGGCCCTCCTGATTCATCTCCAGTCCACTGTCTTCGCACTGGAGGCTTCGGGATCCGTTGGGGTGACCGCTGTCAGGCAACTCGACTCCTCCGGCTACATGCGGATAGACAGCATGGCGTTGCGGTGAGACATCGGCATTCTGTGGCACGTCACCGTGAAATTAGGGCACGTTAATTCACAGATTTCAAAGGTTGGCAAACCCCTGCAACGTGTGGTGTTCATGTGTTGCCGCAGACGGTTGTTTCGCTGCAGTTGGGGGATCCGTCCTCTCATCCCGCACGGTTTCGAAGGTAAGTTTGTGCTTCCGAACGTAATGACGAATACCTGCTCTCAGCGAGGCGTCCAGTGTCGGGTGCGACAATTAACCGACCTTTATGATGCATACCCCTAGGTGCTTGAGTAACAACATTTATTTCTTCCTCCCCGACGCAGCGGGCGATCTGGTGACTAGCGAGTAGCCAAAAGAAACACAAAGAAAATCTCGCAGAGGTTGGCAGTCTAAGGAAAGGTTTACAGCATGTCTTCCCCGAATCATATGTCACACCTCGCTCATACCCAGGTTTTCGTCGGTCTCACTGAGCTCTTTCGTGATCGTCGGTGAAATCTCGTTGTTCTTCCTCTTTCTCGCTATATTTTCGACGTATCCCAGGAGCCTGGGAATCACGGCGGAAGAGTTCCATCCTAATGTTCTCAGTGGCAAGGTGAGTCCAGTGGGTGCGGCCACCACAGACGGGTCCCTACTCCCGTCATGTACAGGAAGATGGCAGTTGTTGCACAGTGCCCGTAGCTTGCCGTTCGTGCCGAATGGTTACCAGGGCTCCGTCTTCCGGCCATCATCGTCCTCGAGGCGAAAAATCTATTCTCCGCGAAAAGAGGCAATCACCCGAACTTAGACGCAGAAGGTCAAACCCACCGTGTTACGAAATCGAACTGCACATAACTAGCCGACAGTTGAGATGTTGGCAACGATAATGCTATTGGTGGCGGCGGCATTCGCTCGAACGTGCTTGCCCCTTAGGCCACACCTCCATGACATTCCACCCTGAATAGAACCGCTGCATCCCGCGGCACTCTGTCCCCTCTGGGCGCCTAAGCAGTCCAGACGAGCCCGTCTACACTGCTCGGTACAGAAATAGTCATGCTCTTGTAGCAGCTTGCGAGAAAGACTGACCATTCACCGCCGCTTCTGCGAGTGCAGGGGAGGAGCAAGGAAGGTTTTAGTGTGTTTGGCTTGTTCGACAGGACCAAGTCGGCCTCAGGGAGGAGGTGCCTGAAGGAGTGGATGCTGAAACCCCTACACGACATTGCCGCCATCAGCGTTCGACAGGTGCGAAACACGTAGCCCCAAACCCTGTCCAAACATATCCTTCCGAAAACATACATCAAAACGTCTGAGGTCCGTTGAGCACGCAGTAACGATCGAAATATGGTGGACCTTCCTACCACCGCCGAGGCCCTGCAAACTACGGTAGCGCAGGTCCCGAGTTTGAATCCCCTGCGCTAGTAACAGGAGATTTTGAGGCTTCGGAGCGAAAATGTTCAGGAATGCCGGCAGGCCAGGTGTCCTGTGTCTCGGCTTTCAACCGGAACCTTCACTGTCTCAAAAAAAGGCGCGAGCGCACAACGGACAAAGGTGGATCCCTTTCGGGATGGCACATGTTGACCAAAAACGCGTTGATATTTTTGTCAGCTTGTTGTCGAGGAGGTGTTCGGGATTATTCAAGCCAGGGTTCTGTCTATGAGATTCAAACTATGAAGCAGATGGGAAGGAGGAAGCAATGAGAATGATGAATCGCGAAGATGCGGTTCAAGGGAGCGACGTTGCTTGATTGCATTTCGAGAGCATTCCGAGCTTGGAACCTGCTCTGAACTTGCGGTCGTCTACGTTACTGCCCTTGCAAACCTGCGTTGCCATGACACACGCTTGAAACTTCGTCCTCTGTCCATCAACATCATGAATAGAACTGAGCTTTACTTTGATACGGACATGCTTTGCACAGTACAACTGCTTTGCACAGTACGACAATCATTGTTTCGTTTTCCTTCAAATATTGTGCAATTCTTCAACAACAGGACGGTGTCGAGGTTCTCATGCAAGCAGAGAATGCTGAGATCTGCCGACGACTGCGGTCCCAGCTGAGCAAATCGTACGGCATGACTCGGATAATCATGCGAATCAAGAAGGTAGGAAATCCGAGGGTTCCTGGGGGGACGGAACATGCCCAACAAGTGGTGGGTGGGGGTTTGGGAGGTATGTTGGGGGAGACCGGTACGGTGTTTCTGGCAGTTCATTGACGGCACAGTACATCCAACTTCGAGACGAGATCGGTGGGGCAATGAGACACGCAGAGCAGCCAAACTTGGTAGAAAGCTAAGCAGATGTTGGCTCCAGACCATGTTTCAACAAACACGGTAGCGTTCAGTTGCGCATCGAAGATTGCGTTAATCTGTGCCTCTTGATGAAGGTGATACCGGATATCGTCTTAGCAGAAACAATAGGTCAACTGGCCTCGGCCGCAGAACCTTCTTGTAACATCGTCTTCGCCAACAACCGGCGTGTAGTCGGGGTCAATCCATGGTTGTTCCGTCAGTAGCCCCGGTTTCAGATGGGCGACGCCGTCGATCCATGGCGCGTCTCGGGATCCGATCGTCTCCAACCAAACAAAAGGTGGCCTGGACGTTCGCGGACTGGTGCAAGCTGATCACGTCCATAGAGTCTGCCCTCGACGTCCGGGACGGGCTCGCGCTGATGAGGACTAGCGCTGGCGCGGCGGTCACGGTGGGCGGGAGGTTCGGGAACGAGTCGTTCCTGGCACGCCTCCTAGGTGATATCTTGTTGCGCATTGCACGTACAACACGATGTTCCAGGTCGTGTTTAGGGGCTAACGTGTCAAGTCAAGGTACAAGTATTGACCTAGATGGTACATGGAACGCGTATCCACTGCAACAACTCATAGTTCGCGCTCGGCCACTTTTTGATCGACCTTGTCCAACGGGATGCCTAAGGCCAATGTGGTTTGTCTCGCTCTTGGCCTGAAGAAAATAGGCAACAGCTTTTGCCTAGCGAAAGGCAACGAAAGGTCTCGCGCGGCGCTGGGGTTGCCATCCAAGCAAAGCCAATGACCCATTCTACCCGATCAACTTGGAGAGGTCGATAGCTCCGACGTTAAGTTTCGTTCGAGCATGTGTCCAACCCCCGGCTCATGATTCTAGCAGGCACACTGCCATGTATGTGGGTGATTCTTCCTTATGGGTAGTCTTACCGGACCTTTCAACCGCACCGTTTGCAGATGACATCGACCCGGTCGTGCTGCGGAAGTGCTTGGAGGGCCTTTGTACGGTCATCGACCCGGTCGCGAGTGCGCAGGACAAGGATGTCGTGGTGAGCCTTTAGACTTGTTGGAGCATCACCTGCTGTTTCCAGAGACGGATGTACAAAATCATCCTCAGAACGATGCGATGGTGGAAAGTCGCCCCATCGCGCTGACTGGCAGTGTTTGAAAACGTCTTGAGGGGAACTATTTGGACGTGGGGATAGGTTTGTCGCGGTTCCGGGAAAATTGTCCAGGGACTTTAGAATCCCAAATGCGTAGGTGTCGAGAGAGTGCAGGTGAGCGTGCTGATGGAACGGTAGCAGAGGATTCGTTCTCTTGCCCATCTAGGTCTTGGGTCTACCGGGTGTTTCTGGACACGCGGCTTGAGGCATATTATCGCGTTGTTAGTCCTGTGCGCTGGTCAATGACGCATCCTGCGTCGGCAAGCTTCGGCGTGTAGGGTGTCCTGGTACGTAATTTGCTGTTTCGCGTACATCGACGTGCACCAAGTGTGTCGACCGGTAAGAATTTCGCGCCATCTTTTTTGAAAATAGATTCGTCCGGGGTTCGACGAAGAGCTGGACAACATGAGAGAACGCCTGGAAGATCTACCGGACATCCTCCAACAAATTGGCCAGGTGCGGTGCTTCAAAAGGTGTACGTCAGTGGCGTGGGCGGGGACCTTCCTGGCCTACAGCTGTCGCTCTCCGAAGACGTTCGTCGCCAGACGAGCCGTAGTTAACGCCAAATTCCTGTCTGCCCTGCTGGTTTGTGGTAGAGAGTAAACGGTCAGACGCACACAGCTCGACCCGGAACGAACGGACGAGTACCGAGAAGGGTCTTACTGCTGTGGCCAGAAGTTGTTGTTGTTGTTGTTGCTGTTGTCGTCGTTGTTCTAGTCGCTACACTCGTGTTCTTCCTTTTGCATTGGTGGCTTACGAGTGGCTGTCGAGCCAGCTGCTCAATGGCCGGTGAGTCCGTTCGATCTCCCATCCGCTCAGCACATGATCTTGAATAAAAACAAATGTGTCGACTCATTTCCCCCAGCTTGAATCGCACACCCTATCTTTGCTTGACCTACTCGACCCGCAGATCGTCCTGAACGAGAACTCCGTGCTGGAAGAGCTGAGCGTGGAGTACGTCCCCCAAATCGGATTCTTCACCACCCTACACGAGCGCTTCGGCGATCTTGCACCGGACGACTTCACCTTCGCATTCGCCCAGGTAGGTACCGATGGCCTTGGCTAACGCTGCTATCAATCTCCGGCACTTGCGGCTGCTTGTTCACTTGGCGTGCATATTGCTTTGACCTTCGTCGATTTTCTCCGTCGTTGATTCACGCTGACGGTGTCTAAGCAGGGCGAGACTGTGTACTACAAGAGCCCAACTATGCGTGATGTGGACGATCGCATCGGAGATATTCAGGCGCTCATCACCGACAAACAGGTACGTGGTCCAAACTCTGGTTACATGACGTTGTAGTTGATGTTGCTGCTGCTGCTGTTTTGGTATTGTTGCGAGAGAGAATGGTCAGGTCAACTATTGAGTGTCTTGGGAAAACGTTCGGTTTCTCCTCCCGAAAGGAGCTCTTCGCTGACAAATGCAAAGCCGTAGAGCGCCTAGACTCTGCAAGCGGTGGCAAGCTGACGGGATGAGAAATGCACAATAACGGGTCGCCTACACCGATCCACGCGGTGTCTGTGGCGTCACCAGTCGCAAGGAGACTGTTTTCGGCCGTCCTTGGGATGACCTTGTGAAATGTGTCCGGGCGACTTGATAAGCCAGGGCGACGGACAACTTCATGAACCTCCTCCAAACATCGAATAATTGCGTGCGCATCGATTGCCGACCGATTTCGAACTCGTGCACGTGAGCACGGAAAAGTGTCCAACCGAATCAGCATGTGGCCTGTGTCTCTGTGTCGTCGTCGAAATTTGTACGAACTCAATGTTGTATTCCTTCCAAACATGCGACTTTTCAAGGCGAAGATCATGCGAGAGCTCGAAGACGCATTGATAGCGGAGGAGGGCGCCTTGCACGCGGCGGCATCTGTCTTGGCGGAGCTTGACGCGGCTTTGGCCCTAGCCTCCGTAGCAGGAGACTTCGGCTTCGTCCGACCGGAGGTATCAAAACAGAGTTTGACTCTACCTCAGTCGTTTTCCCTTTCTCATGGCATGGGGCCTAGTGGAAACTGCTTCTGGTAAAACACACACCGATCATGACATGTATCATTGCCTCGTTCACGAAGTGTGCCCCTCGGTTATGGCAAGGGATTCATCTTGAACAACGCCTTGAACGGCGTTCAGCGCTCGATCTTATGGAGAGCGCGGAAGTCTTTTGTCCCCAGCCAAGTCAAGCATGGCGGAAATCGTCATCGACTCACGGCGCTTGCAGTGCTGTCTCGACGCATTTCTCCTCCCCCGGAGACCAGTAATGGTGTTTCTTATTCGGTATTGTCCCGTATCATATTCCAGGTGGTGGAGGATAACGTGATCATGATCAAAAACGGGCGGCACCCTCTTCAGGTGAGGACGTCCATCCCGGTTTGCGCGCCTCACTCATCGAAGCGCTTAAGCTCTCTTGAGCTCGGCAATGGCGTGTTCTACCCCGCAGAAGGCGTGATGCATCCAAAAGGAACACGATACATTTGTGGGCGACGGTTTCAAAATTTCAACAGCCTTTGCCGCCCTTCCGTGCAGCCATCCACGCGTTGGGCTTGCCCACGTTGCTAGTCCATGCCACTAACCGATTAATATGATTCGACGGATACACACCCGACCGCACTTCCAAGTGGTGGGGAGGATGGTGCCGAGGGCAGTATTACACGGAATCCCGCCCACGTTATGTGAGTAGGGCCAACAGGGGTCAGAACAAGGAAGGCTGGTACGTACCAGATATTACATGTCCATCCACGCTCGAAAGATGCTCGACAAGTTTCGATAGAGGTGTCTGCCTTTACTCCCTTACTTTTTCAAAACCTCCTGTATCAGGAAATGGCCGTGGACCTATTCATCCCGAACGATACCTTCATCGCGGACGGCAGCCGGGTGGCACTCATCACTGGGGCGAACTGCTCGGGAAAGAGCGTATACCTCAAACAGGTCAGCGTGCACAAACCGGTCGGCCGCGATGCTACTCTATTAGTGTCTATGGGAGCAAAAAGCAAGGGGTATTGTGCACTCATCGATATCATTTGGTGAATACCCTGGTAGGAGATCGTCGTGTTTTCTAAGCACATCGATGTTTATTCGCGGAAGAGAACGCTTTACTGTGCGCACTCACAATGCCTTGGGTTCTGATCTGAGACCTCTCGCCTTTAGGCTATTTTCAGAGGGTCCTTGAAAATTCGAGGTTGCTTTAGTGGCATACGTTAGGAGCATGGTGTTCATGCTGCATGCCACACATTTATCTCGCGTCTAGCTTTCCGATATCCCACTTTCGTATATACCGACAAAACGTTTTCCCCAACCGTTGTTTCTGAGTTCTTGGAGTGGGAGTGGCGGGCGGTAGTTCTGCTGGCGGGAGTGCGGCCTATGTATCAGGAATATGTTGCACAAACCCATTTCCTACGGCTTTGCCGATCGGTTTGTCCCAATGGTTAGTTTTGGAGGGCGGGCAAACCCCGAGTCTCACCAAAACAGAACCATTCCGAACCGTGTTCTGTTCCGGTGGTAGGTCGGAGTGGCGGTATATCTGGCGCACGTTGGATCCTTTGTCCCAGCGGAAAAGGCGGTCATCGGCTTGACCGACCGCATTTTTACCCGAATAGCCACAGTGGAGACGTCCTCCCTGCCACAGAGCTCGTTCACCATCGACGTAAATCAGGTATGTGGGTAACGGAGGGGCGCCGTGATGGGGAAATCCTCACATTTCCTACACCTAAAAGACAGTCCAATACCGAACAAACGCGGAGTGGTATTTCCGCCAAAGTGGATGATTTCTCTGCAGCAAGCTCTCAAACAAAGCACGTCGAGTTACTCCACGGTCGGTCGGCCGGGAAAGTATAGTCAAATACTGTAAAAAAAAAACGTATCTCAGCTAAATCTCACCAGAAAGTTCGCGAAGGATTCTCGCTAACGAAGAGTATGGAGTACCCCAACTTATGTTGAAAGTCGGTAGAACGGCAATCTCCGGGATTACCTGAGTTCAGGAGCCCGTCAATGACTCAGGCCCAGAATGCGCAACGTCTGCCACTGCAAGTCCTATATCTGGGACAGGTCTCTTTGATCTTTCAAACCACCCCCAGTGAAACTCTGTTTGTAAGTATTATCTCGATGAACTGCAGGAAGTCAATCGAACACAGCGAGAAACAGATGCGGCAAACTTGGTCTCCGTTCGCTCCCTCCGTCCTTGCACGCGCACAGGTCGCCCAGATGGCGCGTACCAGCACCCCGAGATCTCTACTACTCATCGATGAGTTCGGCAAGGGCACCGCCCCCGCTGACGGCATCGGTCTGGTGGCGGCCCTGCTGCGCCATCTCTCCCGCAAGGGTCGCAAGTGCCTCTTCACTCTGCACTTTCATGAAATTTTCAGGTGTGTTTGAGGTTGGTATCGCGTTGGTTGTTTCGCCTTCCTTCGTGCTAGCCTTATCCCCCGACCTTTGTCTCTCTCCTAACCTCGTTCTACTGGTTCACTACCAGCCTAACCTCTAGGTATCCTCGGGCGCAAGCTGGGAACAAATCGAGCGAAACCTTTCCATGGGAGTCAGGCTCGTCCATGGTCAGATCTGACGTTGGTCAGTGGGGATTGCGATTGGCACGGGCCAAAGAATGTTTAGCAGAACCCCGCTCCACGCTTTGGTGGGAACGTGTCGATAACCTACTCTTATGAATGATGGAGGACGCACCATGAATACACTCGGCTCGACGACCAGCTCCAAGAAGGAGAGTACGGCGTTGTTGTTGGACCCTCCCGTGAATGGCGGACGATACCATCCTCCTTTCCGTGGGGTCAGTGTTCCCCTCCCTCCCTCCCTCCCTCCCTCCCTACCTACTTGTCTGTCTGTCTGTCTTTCTCTCCCCTCAACGTGCCGCACCCACTCTCCAAGCCACGATCTGGTGAAGGTCAGCGGCCCGGACGAACTTCACACGGATCTCAAAGACGTCAGCGTGTTCCGGATGGACGTGCACGTACCTTCTCCGCCGAAAGCGCCAGAGTCTCAGGTATCTGCAGCGAATGGAAACTCTGCGAAGATGTTTTCGATAGTCATACGTCGGTGTACAAGGCTGAGGTAGTACCGGTTATTCTTTGGTTGGCTGAGGCTCGCTGGGCTCTTCGAATGAATAACACGTCAGCTGTGTGCACGGTTGAGCTTGGGATATGCCACAAACTGGCAGCTGGCTGCCAGCTGTGGGCCGGGTCTGCTGCCTGCACATGCCATCTTGTACCACCCCCTTGACTCTATTGTGCTCTCATGAGCCGCTCCGGAGGGATCCCTTGTATACGTCTCGGAATTGGATACGCACAACACGACACCACCCCGGTTGGTTCGGGGCTTGTTTTCATGAAAGGCATTTCTACCAGTGAGCAAAGCAAGAGGATGCAAAAGAAAAGCACTGGCCGTAACGGGTGTGGAATATCTATTCTTCATGCGGGCGTGAGTTTGACCTTCCTCACCGCACAAACGAAGTTCCGACAGAGCGCATCGCCTTCGCCATGCTCTGTGCCTGCCCGACTTTGCGCCGGCATATGTTTTCCCTCATTGTTCGTGCCGCCCTTTCGAGCATATTGCTTTTCGCCAGAGCGAATATGGAGACGGATCATTGTCTTCCCCCAAAGCAGACGGTATTTATTGCAGAGCGGAAACCGCCATGATACATTGGCATGATGAATAATCGCGATGGCCCCACGAAGAGGCAAAAGTGACAAGAAAAACTTTGATGCTATAGGGAAACCGACTCGAAGCCTGCCATGGCACGGCGACTCTCCTTCTGTCCTTCTCACATGTGCACCCCGCCTTCGTTGTATTCAAGGGCGATGGGCTGGGGGAAGGAGAGGGCACGACAGGCGAGGAGTGGGCTTTCGTCCCGCCTACCCCCCTGTTCAAGCTCAAGCCCGGAATGACTTCGAACTCTCATGGCATTGCCTGCGCGCAAGTCGCCGGTAAGGTTGGGCAATGAGTCAACGGTTTTCGGACCGGATAATCCCTTCTTGATGTCGTCCCGTTGGCGACTAGCAGGGATGGTGCTTTCCCTCTCTACGGAATCAACATGTTGGTGAATCTGGTGTAATTGTAAGCAAAGAGAGCGAGGTAATCAAGTAGTGTGTGGTTGAACAGTGAAGCGTTAGGAATGTTTGAAGCAGTTTGATCCTCGTTGTACTTCGTTGGCATGTTACATGCTGAGACGTGTCTTCGACCATAACAGTTCGACTCCTTTGTAAGCAGAGAAACCCACAGCAAAATACACGCTGGATGGATTGAACATGCCTCCCAACTTGAAGAGACACCAAGACCGGTATGTGACCGTGACAGCATCAAGAGCGTGTTCAACACCAGCGACAGCCGTAGAACCACTCCCTCGCAGGTTCTTTCGTTCCAGGAAGGGTCGAGCGAAGAAAACTCTGGCTAAAGCGAGGGAACGTCAAAGAAGTAGGGTCGCTTCCAGCTCAAAGTGCCTCGACCCCACAAATCTCTTCCATGGTTGCACTTTCCGCACTGCTTTGCAACGCAGAATCACAGTACTCTTTCGTGTTTGATAAGTGACTGTTTATCTTAAAGTTTGCTTGGTGGCGTGTGGGCGAATGCATGCTTGGTAATGTTGACCGGGAGGGTAGGAATCTCAGAAGACGTCCTCAAGCGCGCAAGGGAGGTTGCCGATTTCGAGGACAGGGGAGAGCCGATCCGGGCTAGAGAGGATGGGAGGAAGGGTGCCAAACCACTCACCATGGCATCTCCAAAGGCAAGCTTGATGTTGAATGTGTACCCCCATCGAGGTTAGGGTCGGACGAATGACGACAAGAATTTCGAGAATAGCAATCGAAACCACCACGTGTGTGCGTCGTAGGGGTGTGCGTTGAACACGCCCTTCGTATGGGCGACTCATCTAGGCCGTACGATGAATTTGTGTTGTGCAACCAGCATGGCATTCATTGATCTTGAGCACAAAATACAAGCCAGCGCTAGCGACTGAGTTCCATGGGATCGTTTGCATGCTCTTTGCTTGCGTGTCTATAGCCGAGCCCGGTTGCATGCACAGTTCTGCTGTAGAAAATCGGTCACCAACGGATCGAAGCTCCTCTACGTTTGCCTCGCCATCACGGTTTCAAACGCTATCTTCATGTCTTCTCGGCCGGAAGTTTCAAGCCGAGCTTGCGTCAGAGCAAGAGGTAAACGGTGACCCTTCGTGTTGTCAACCAGCGAGGCCTTTTGGTTTTCACCACCACAGCCACAAAGGATACCTCCGAAACTCCAACATCGTTGTGGGAAAGGGAGAGCTCCGTTCCCGAGTAAAGCAACGAACACGAGCATCGCACGCCCTGAACCTTCACTTCGCATGTTTGGTGTCGCTTTATCGCAGGTCCGAGAGGCTCTGCGGCTCTTTCTCGAGCCACCGGACAACGCCTCTTGGAACCATGCCTCCGACGACCTGGTCCATACCCTGATGGCCACGTTGGACATCCTGTGCGGGCTAGCAGTCGCGCCTGGGTAAATACAACGACACCATTGTGCCCCCTGCCCGTGCTGTGATACGATATTGTACGGATGGGACGTGTCCCCCTCGCATACTTGGGGGAACACCACAAAGCGATCCATTGGCCATCGGTTCAACGAACGGCGATCGCGAGAGCTTTCAACCAAACTGATGATTAGTCCTACACAACAACTTTTTCTTCCATTGTCTCTTCTGGGCTGTCACGTACCACATCGACTACTTCATGCGACGGTAACCTTTGGGCGGACTGAAGTCTGGACGAAGAGAGATACTGGCAAGAGCGGGTGTAAAGCCCACAACACGGTGAAGGCTGCACCTGAATAGGCATGCGTCTCCTCCCATGCCCCGGCCGTAGAGATAGGACCTCGTGCTGGCCAATCAGCTTGCCTTTCGTGGAACCATGCTCTGGTCGCACAAGAAGGTGGGGTAGGCCGTCGCCTTTGAGAATACACGGCCGTCTGAAGTGGAGCGAAGGTATTCACGTATCTCTAGAATCTTGGTCATTCACCTGTACGCGCACTATTTTTCTCGTGTAGGACCGTGCCAATGGGGATTGTTTCCCTAGGCCCGTTCCTTGCGATCATTCCAGATATGGTCACGCTAAGCGGCGTGTCTCCAGATGGACAATTACTGTGGGTGGAATCGCCTCTGATCTGTCGGTTTCGAACGGTCATGGGCACCCAGGCTTAATGAGGTTCGGCAGCCGTGCTACCTCACGTAACTTTGGCCTACGCAGTGTGAGATGACAGGAAAATCCGAAACGTCTTGTCCGAGAGGTATGTTGTGTGGGGTTGCAAGTTCAAGGAGGATTTTTCAATACGGTTTGCTGCCTGTTGGCAAAGTCTCTGTAAATGAACGCACGTGATAGGTTTGGGTTCAACGATGGCGACAACCACGGGGTGGGAGACAACTAAGCATAAACTGAATTGTAGAGAGTTCGCGTTGCGAATTCATTCTATGTGCGCATCAAAGAAGATGGAAATACTCATACCTTGAGCAAATTCGAGCTGTTGCGCCTTGTAGATCAGATTCCTGAGGTTCATCTCCTCCCTACCGCCCCAACGTAAAGTGAATGAGCTTCGCTTTATGCTTCGTACCTTTTTCTGCCAGTTTTGAGATTGGACGATGCAAGAGCATGAGGCGAATACGACATATTTTCAGAGTATGTGTCCATAGGTTCGTCAGGCGCACTTCGGGATATATATTTGTCCAGAGCATCTCCCTGACAGACGGAGGAGGCCATCGTGAAGCGCAGAGGTAATTTCTAAGACCCGCACGAACCAAGATTGTTGTATCCTTGAATATGTACATGTAGAAGCAAACACACCCGTCTCATCGATGCCACTAGAAATTTGAATATCGAAGTTCGGAGTTTGTCGCATCAAGGGGGGCCTTGTTCTGTTGTACCTCTAGAGAGAACAGAAAGCACGAGATGGTTCAATTCTCTTACCAAGTAGTGCGGCATTTGTTTCGCATCCTCTGTTAGCGTTCGTTCCTCTCTAGCATCGCTGGTTGAATGAATCGCGGCATCGGTAGTGTCGAGAGCAGGTCCTATATTTAACGCAAGTTCACCGCACATACATCCTGGCACAGGCCGACGAGCAGGACATTGTGTTTATTTTCACTAGCGCAGGAAAGTCTACAGTCCTTGTACGTCGTAAATTAGTTGCACATTCTCTGGACTTACCAGCCGGGGTCCCACAGGAGGAACTGCGTAGTGGAGATTATTGTTTTCCCTCTCTCCTTCCGCGATGCTTGACTTCATTATGATCGCGAGGAAGATTCTGTCGTTGTTGTCCGTCGTCGTCGAACGTGAATGAACACAGCCGGACGACATGTATGTGTGCGCCGACACGAACTTTTCACTTTCCCATAACTCCTCGATGGTGTTGTGATATATCTATTATGTTGTTGCTAATAAAAGTTTCCGTTCTCCGCTCGGAACCGTCCAGTCTTCTAATATTCGTAGAGCCAACGGACGACGCGGATGCCTTAACGCACAATATCGAGCTTGGGATTTCCTATTGTTTGGGCATATTGTCTACATTCTGTACATGTTACTCAGGATCCCTCTTCGTGCGAATGTACAAGCTGGGCCAGCCAAGAAGCTCACTTTCGTTGTTTCGCGTCGCACGCTGCCAATTCCACGAGTTTAGGCTTGAAATTTTGTGGCTACACTTAAAAGACCATCGAGGATGCGCCGGTGCCAGAATTTTTCGAATCTGAGTTGGGTATTGAATGCTCAATTGGTGGTGTAGTGGGGGATGGTTCCGGTACTAAAATCAGTAGTATAAAAGTTTTACAGGTTAAGCCGAAAATTGGTGTGCACTTACCTGGGAGCATTGCGAGAACAATGATGGTTGTCACAAGGCTCAGGTCGTCTTCCATCAAAAGTTATGGCTTCGCAAAAGATCATATACAACACCCAAGATACTGAGCGAAAGTGAGGATATCGCGATTTCCGAGCCGGTTTTTACGAACTAGAACCTGAAATTTTGATATGTGACTGGAAACGGTCTTACGAATGCCCCCGAAGGAGGTGCGGTCTTCTTTTTTTTTTTTAAGCCAGAAAACCCCCTATATTGGGATTCTCAGTTATTGAATACAGAACGCGCCACCACTTAAGAACTTAGCAGTTAAGAACCTGAGCCTAAAACAATTCAAAATCTAAGAACTTGACCATAAGAACATATGCTCAGTTCCGACGTTGTATTAAGAACAAGAACCCGCCCGGTGTACCAATGCGCATACAGATAAGAACGGAGCCCCAAAACGCGGCGGCTGCATGATAAGAACTCATGAGGCTGGGGGTGACCCAAACAGTTAGTTTCTGATTCGAGGCGGGGGGGGGGGGGGAGAGAGGACCTCGTGATGAATTCTTGTACGCGCGGAGGGGGAGGGCGTACGCTCTCTCATGTTTCGCATGCCTTAGGGGTAGGACAATTGACCAACGTCTTCGAGAGGACGCATCCATGTTCCAACAGGATCACTGATGCCAATCGTTCCTTCCCACTTCGAAGCACTTTGTCAAACGTGGCCAAACCATGTTCTCCCTAGCCGATCTACCCTATATCGATATCATCACTTCCCGCCTTTTCAACCCACTTCCTATGCCCCAGTACAGCTACCACCGTTTTCTCCTGGCTATTCCATGCCTCAAACACCTCCCTGTACCTTTTCTTCTACATGTCCAACTCAGTCATGTACATTTCTCTGTCCTTGTCGCCCAACACGGACGTTTCGCAAACGACATGAACCCGATCTTCGCTCTCGGAGTCGCATTCACATTGAACTCATCTTCATCGTCTACCTTCCTGAATCTTCGTCAATGTTCTCGGAGGCCGTTTTCCCCACTCCAAAATTTGACCTTCGGCTTTCTCCCTGCATCCATTGGTCCATGTAGTAGGCACCTATACCTTCTTTCAACATCCGTACACATGGAGACCCTCCTTATCCTTGGATCCTTT